AACTACTACTACTATACTATAATATATATATATATATATATATATATATATACAGGGATCTCCAAGAGCACTTAGAGCCTGCCGGCCCGCCAGGCTATCGTCGAGCCCCGCCATCCTAAAATGCACCCGTCACTCTAAATGTCATAGCCGCCATGCTAAAGTTAGCGAAAAAAATGTTAAAAATGCTAAAACTATGACCGTAAAGGCAGCCCCGCCATGCTATAATGAAAAAGCTTGGAGAACCCTGATATATATATATACGTGGGTGGGTGTGCGAGTGAAGTGAGTGTGTGCGTATGTGTATGTATGTGCGTGTATATATAATATGTACATATACATATATCACGAGGTCAGCTTCTCCCAGCTACGCTACCGTGCTAATTTTAGCGTCTGACCGTTCCGCGCACTCACCCACGCGACGAATTTAGCTCCGCAAAATCTCGCACGTCCCGCCAAGGTCACAGCAGACTGATCCAGGTCGACGCATTAATCCCGGATCTTTCCCCCACCTTCCCGCGAAGGTGACAGCAGACTGAGTTAGATTGCCGCGTTAATCCCGGTTCTTTCCCATCCCCTCCCCTCCTTCCCGCGAAGGTGACACCAGAGCGATCCGGATTGCCGCATTGATCCCGGAACTTTCCCCCCATCTTCCCGCGAAGGTCACAGCATAATATATACTGATCCGGGTCGGCGCGTTAATCCCGGATCATTCCTCCCCACCTTCCCGCGAAGGTCACCGAGGGTGCACTCCGGGTCGCCGCATTAACTCGGATCTTTCCCGCTCTCCCTCGCGCGTGCGCAGGAAGTTAAGCTGAGCAGTCCGGACTACAAGGGGAAGGATCCGGATGAGTCTGTGCGGGACTTCATGGAGCGCATCCGGCACTACGCTGCGCAGTACGAGCAGATCGACGAACACGAGGATTGCGAGTACTCCTTCATCAAGATTTACAACGTCGGCGAGAAGTTTCTCGTTAACCGCATCGTAGGTGAGCACGCGAGCTTCCTCTCTCCGTGGCTTCTTCTATTCCCCTCTGTGGCCCCTTCCTCCTTCTCCTTCCCCGTGGCTTTTGTGGATTCCTTTCTCTGTGTGGTTTTCTCGCTGTGATTTTCTCTCTGTGGTTTTCTCTGTAGCTTTCTCTCTCTGTGTCTCTGTGGTTTTCTCTGTAGCTTTCTCTCTCTGTGGATTCCTCTGTGGGCCCCTGCCTCCTTCCCCGCCCTCCCTGCAGCTTCTGTGGATTCCTCTCTCTGTGGTTTTTTCGCTGTGGTTTTCTCTGTAGCTTTCTCTCTCTGTCTCTCTGTGGTTTTCTCTCTGTGGTTTTCTCTGTAGCTTTCTCTCTCTGTGTCTCTCTGTGTCTCTTTGTGGTTTTCTCTGTAGCTTTCTCTCTCTGTGGTTTTCTCTCTGTGGTTTTCTCTGTAGCTTTCTCTGTGTCTCTCTGTGGTTTTCTCTCTGTGGTTTTCTCTGTAGCTTTCTCTCTCTATGGATTCCTCTGTGGCCCCTCCCTCCTTCCCTCCTTCCCTCGTCCTTCACCCACTCATTAATCAAGATCTACAACGTCGGCGAGAAGTTCCTCGTTAACCGCATCGTAGGTGAGCGCGCGAGCTTCCTTTTTCCGTGGCTTCTTCTATGGCCCCCTCTGTGGCCCCTCCCTCCTTCCACGCCCTCCCCGCGGCTTTTGTGGATTCCTCTCTCTCTTTGTGGTTTTCTCTCTGTGGTTTTCACTGTAGCTTTCTCTCTCTGTGTCTCTCTGTGGTTTTTCCTCTGTGGTTTTCTCTGTAGCTTTCTCTCTCTATGGATTCCTTTGTGGCCCCTCCCTCCTTCCCTTCTTCCCTCGTCCTTCACCCACTCGCTTATCAAGTTTTACAACGTCGACGAGAAGTTCTTTGCTAATCGCATGCACTTCTCCCCTGTTGCCTTCTCTCCCCCTGGCTTCCTCTGTGGATTCTTCTCTCTGGTTTTCTGTCTCTGTGGGTTCCTTTCTTTGTGGCTCTATCGCAATTGGTTGTTACAGTTTGCCTCATAGAATCTTTTCCGGTTGGTTCCCGCGGATCACCACCTCGCGAAATCATTTCCGATTGGTTCCCGCGGATCACCACCTCGCGAAATCATTTCCGATTGGTTGCGCCCGCAGATCACGTGATGGCTAAGATTGTCTACTACCTGATGAACATTCACATCGTGCCGCGCACCATCTTCCTGTCGCGGCACGGCGAGAGCGAGCTCAACACGAAGGGACGCATAGGGGGCGACTCCGGGCTGTCCGAACGCGGCAGGGAGGTGAGCAGACGCCCAGAGCAGACGCCCTCAGTAACCCCTAGCACAAGATTTTTTTTAATTAAAAAACAAATCTTTAATTTGATTCATTAGATTTTTTTGATATTTAGATTTATTTAGACTTCTATCTTATTAGGTTTCTTTCTTTTTTTAAATAATTTATAGATTCTTAGTAGCCCTCGGCAGACGCCTACAGTTTTCACGGCGCTGAATCTGACGCGCGCATTGTTTTGTAAATGCAATCTTCGCCGGGCGAAGTCTCTACCGCACGTTTTCCTGCCGCTGATATTTTTTCTCGGATTTTCCCCACGCGGCACGTTGCGTCCCTGGGGGAGACCTCTTCCTGTAAGTTCCTCTCTAGAAGTTACATAAGAACGATATATATATACAGGGATCTCCAAGAGCACTTAGAGCCTGCCGGCCCGCCAGGCTATCGTCGAGCCCCGCCATCCTAAAATGCACCCGTCACTCTAAATGTCATAGCCGCCATGCTAAAGTTAGCGAAAAAAATGTTAAAAATGCTAAAACTATGACCGTAAAGGCAGCCCCGCCATGCTATAATGAAAAAGCTTGGAGAACCCTGATATATATATATATACGTGGGTGGGTGTGCGAGTGAAGTGAGTGTGTGCGTATGTGTATGTATGTGCGTGTATATATAATATGTACATATACATATATCACGAGGTCAGCTTCTCCCAGCTACGCTACCGTGCTAATTTTAGCGTCTGACCGTTCCGCGCACTCACCCACGCGACGAATTTAGCTCCGCAAAATCTCGCACGTCCCGCCAAGGTCACAGCAGACTGATCCAGGTCGACGCATTAATCCCGGATCTTTCCCCCACCTTCCCGCGAAGGTGACAGCAGACTGAGTTGGATTGCCGCGTTAATCCCGGTTCTTTCCCATCCCCTCCCCTCCTTCCCGCGAAGGTGACACCAGAGCGATCCGGATTGCCGCATTGATCCCGGAACTTTCCCCCCATCTTCCCGCGAAGGTCACAGCATAATATATACTGATCCGGGTCGGCGCGTTAATCCCGGATCATTCCTCCCCACCTTCCCGCGAAGGTCACTGAGGGTGCACTCCGGGTCGCTGCATTAACCCGGATCTTTCCCGCTCTCCCTCGCGCGTGCGCAGGAAGTTAAGCTGAGCAGTCCGGACTACAAGGGGAAGGATCCGGATGAGTCTGTGCGGGACTTCATGGAGCGCATCCGGCACTACGCTGCGCAGTACGAGCAGATCGACGAACACGAGGATTGCGAGTACTCCTTCATCAAGATTTACAACGTCGGCGAGAAGTTTCTCGTTAACCGCATCGTAGGTGAGCACGCGAGCTTCCTCTCTCCGTGGCTTCTTCTATTCCCCTCTGTGGCCCCTTCCTCCTTCTCCTTCCCCGCGGCTTTTGTGGATTCCTTTCTCTGTGTGGTTTTCTCGCTGTGATTTTCTCTCTGTGGTTTTCTCTGTAGCTTTCTCTCTCTGTGTCTCTGTGGTTTTCTCTGTAGCTTTCTCTCTCTGTGTCTCTGTGGTTTTCTCTGTAGCTTTCTCTCTCTGTGGATTCCTCTGTGGGCCCCTGCCTCCTTCCCCGCCCTCCCTGCAGCTTCTGTGGATTCCTCTCTCTGTGGTTTTTTCGCTGTGATTTTCTCTGTAGCTTTCTCTCTCTGTCTCTCTGTGGTTTTCTCTCTGTGGTTTTCTCTGTAGCTTTCTCTCTCTGTGGATTCCTCTGTGGGCCCCTGCCTCCTTCCCCGCCCTCCCTGCAGCTTCTGTGGATTCCTCTCTCTGTGGTTTTTTCGCTGTGATTTTCTCTGTAGCTTTCTCTCTCTGTCTCTCTGTGGTTTTCTCTCTGTGGTTTTCTCTGTAGCTTTCTCTCTCTGTGTCTCTCTGTGTCTCTTTGTGGTTTTCTCTGTAGCTTTCTCTCTCTGTGTCTCTCTGTGTTTTTCTCTCTGTGGTTTTCTCTGTAGCTTTCTCTCTCTGTGTCTCTCTGTGTCTCTTTGTGGTTTTCTCTGTAGCTTTCTC